TGTTGTCCTGCAGCATGGCGAAGAAGATTGCTGGCCCCTGTCCTGTTGTAGAATATTGTTTTAAGGTGTATTATTTTTGTTTATGTTGCATTTGTTTAACACTGTGAAGCTGTGTTCCTGTGCCTGTCTAAAACACCTGATGGTTTAATAAAGAGCTGAACGGCCAATAGTGAGGCAGGAGAAAGGATAGGTGGGGCTGGTAGACAGAGAGAATATACAGAAGGAGAAATCCAGGAAGAGGGAAAGGAAGTAGCCAGAGAAGGAGGAGGACTCCAGGGGCCAGCCACCCAGCTACACAGCAAACCATGGAGTAAGAGAAAGATTTACAGAAGCAAGAGAACAGGAAAAGCCCAGAGGCAAAAGATAGATGGGGCTAATTTAAAGTTAAGTAAAGCTGGCTAGCAACAAGCCAAGCTAAGGCCGGGTATTTCTAAGTAGTAATAAGCCTCTGTGTGTGATTTATTTGGGAGCTGGGTGGTGGGCCCCCCAAAAGAGCCAAAACAACCAACAACACTGTCCTTTTGTACAGCCACACTGCAGCACAGACTTATGTGGTTGCTGCAACCCTAGACCCTCCACAGGCAGCCCCCCAAAAGGCCCCTCAGCAAGTACAGCAGTGGCCGTGTTCCTGAGTGGTGGGGGCAAGCGCTGAGCTCAGTCAGAGCCTGGATAGCTGGGTGAGACATGCCCTGATGACCTACCAGACCTGCAGTCCTAGACACCGGAGAGAAAAAACAAAGCAAACAACCAACCAACCCAGAGCACTCTGGAGCACACTAGAACCACTGCAAGGCAGCTAGGCATGGTGGCACACTCTTCTAATCCCAGCTCTCGGGAGGCAGAGGCAGGTGGATCTCTGTGAGTTCCAGGCCAGCCTGGTCTACATAGAGAAACCTTGTCCCCAAATACCAAAATAAAAATAGAACTACCACAAGGAGAAAAGAACGGGAGTTTTTTTTTTTTTTTTGCGGAATGCCATTTATTGAAGGAGGGAGGAGGTCTTAAATACAGGTTTACAGCACAATGGGAGAACCCCGGAGGGCAGAAGTTCACTACTGATGTTTTACAATCTTGCATCTAAGCTGTTAACGCCCATTATGTAGGATACACAGACAAGGAACTTCCCTTAAGCATTCAGGAGAGTGGAACCTGGCAGGGAATTAGCATAGGGAGGATATCAAGGTCAAGGTCAGCAAGCAAGGCAACAGTTACCCAAAGGGGGGGCCAGGGACCTGCAGGTCCCCCTAGAAAATGATCTTCTGACTTAGGTTGTGTGGGACATCAGCAGGTCTCCTTACCCGTCATGGAGACGCCTGCCCAGGCCACACAGGCGCTCTGTCTTAGGGTGGTGAGCACCCCCCAGGCATTTCCAGACTGGGAGTCTTGTAAGTGGAACCTGGTGGCTGCAGAGGGAAAGGGTGCGGTTGAGGTTGGAGGAGTGGGTTCTGGAGGTTGCAGAAAGTCTGTCCAAGGCTCTCAGGTCCTGATCTGTGTTCTCAGAAGCCAGTTCACACTCCCATACTGTCACTTCTCTCCCCCTCAGCTCCAGGAAAGTTCTGGATTAGGCATGGCCAACCCTTCCTTCCTAGTGGAAACTCCAGGATCTGAAGTGACAGCCGCCTACATCTGCCCACCAGATAGCCACATGGGGCTGACACTCTCTGCAGCTGTGGGTGGAATCTGGACTCCTAAGGACAAGAGCCTCCCCAGGGCTGGGCTGTCTGCTGTAGGCTTGTGGGATGGCGGTGCTTGAAAGTAGGGCACCCTCGAGCTCAGGGCTCACATGTCACATGAGTCAGGTACCCAGGTGGAGCAGGCAAGCACAGGAGATACTTGGATCCTATTTGGTTTTGGTTATGTACACCTCCCCACCTTTGTAATGATGCACCTGGTAGTCTAGCTCCCTGACCTGCCCTGACCTCTACACACACATACCCCTGTCTAAACAATGCACCTAGCAACATCAGAACCAATCCACCCCTGACCTCTGTTGGGCTATACACAATCTCATCTCTGAACAATAACGTTTTCCTGCCTCTGGTAACAATGACATTTAGAGTTTTTATTCCAGTGTATTCCTAAAGTATCTATGTATGAATAATAGAAGGCCTGATCCAGCCTGAACTGGTTTTGGATGCAGTGCACTAGGACAAAACTGTGTCCTCAGTTGAGCATGGTAGCGCACACCTTTGATCCCAGCACCTGGGAGGCAGGATAGGTGGATCTCTGTGAATTTGAGGCCAGCCTGGTCTATATAACATCTTAAGGACAATAACAATGTCCTTTGGTAAACTTCTAGAAATAACTATTTGCCATCTTATGCATGACTGAACATGAATATGATTAAAAGCAGGTGCATTGGGAGGGACATAAGCAATAAGCAAAGTGAACATATATGACCTCATCTATCAGTTACATTAGAAAACCACCCAACTGGTGGGATGCGACCAGAACAGATCCGAACACTCTGCCTGAGGCCGACCCAGAGCCCAGCTGTCCATCCTGCGAAACCCAACAACTTGGAGGTGTTGGTGAGATTGCCCTACTGAACAACCCGCTCAGCTGAGATCCATTCGGGAAAGGATTCAGATCCCTACAGTCCGCAGTCTGAGGAAACAAGATCAGCTGAGGAGTTGACGAATGAGCAAAACGTGACGTGATGTGATGTGATGTGATGTGATGTGATGTGATGTGATGTGATGTGATGTGATGTGACGTGACGTGACGTGACCTGAGAACACAAAAGAAGGTGCTGCCCAGCCACCGAACCAGATCACCAGAATCATAAGCCCACCCTACACCAACTGGGAACAGGTAAGCCCCCATCTCCGGACAGGCAGATCAGATCTCTAGCCCCTAGGCCCTACCCATCAGAGACTCAGGAACCAGACAGTTACCTTTCCCTGCTCCCCCACCAAAACCAAAACCAAACAAACAAAAAAAGCCAACCCCTACACACCTAACAACCACTGGAGCCATAAGCACACCCTGCACCAACTGGGAACAACTGCTCCCTGAGACAGAACCCACTAACACTGATTGGACCCGAAGAAACAGAGCCCAACAGCACTGATTTAACCAAGAACTCCTAGTGGACCAAGACTAACAATTAGAACAAGAGAGGCACCTTCAGACATAGACACTGCCTACACCGAGCGGAGGAAGAGATGAGTAGATGCCAGTGCAAAAATACAGGCAACAACATAAAGACCTATATGACACCATCAGAACCTAGGGATTCTACACCTGCAAGACCTGAACATACCACGGCAGAAGAAGCAGAAGAAATCAATCCTAAGAAAACCACCCAACTACACCCCTTAATAACTAACTCCTTCTTCATTTAGAAGAAGTCCCAAACAATCGTCAGGACCCTTGAGTACCCTCACTCATGTGGCCCACTGTCAATCTCGATGGTGTTGGCCTGCTTCTTCCACAAATACAAGTGAATCCTTATTTTCAACTCTTTACATAAGAGGCCAAGAACTTGAAAACCTCTGACCCAGGCCCCAACCACCAGTGACACAGATGAGGACAGTGGCGTGATGGGAGGGTGTCCTGCTGCCACGGACATGTCCTCTGTGAGCATGGTGGGGAGCAGCTGGGTGGGGTCCCACAGGATGCCTCTCAGTCAGCAATGAGCCAAGGGTGAGGTGAGGGGCACAGAGCACCTGAGCCATGCAGGCTGGAAGGAAGGAGAGGTCCAGCTGTTGGGTGGAGACAGTCCCTGGAGGAGCAGGTGAGGGTGGCTTTCACCTGCCCACATGGGCTGGCCGACTTCCACTGCTCTGCTGAGGAATTGTGGCTGGGGTCCCCCAATAAATGATAGAGATGTTGCCCCATCCCTGGGTATGATGATATGGTCACAACTTTGCACAACTTTGGTCTTTAGCCATGGTGGCTCTGGGCTGGCCCTCTCCTCATACAGTATCCGTTAACAGGTGCCCATCTCTTCCAGGAAGCCTCCCCAGACTTCTCAACCACACGTGACCCTGCATGGTGGCCCTCACCCCAGGGTGCAGGCCCTTGGGTAGGGATCACTTGTGTCCCCAACTGACACTGAACAATAAGTACCTGGCTTTGAACCTTCCTGACACCCTGGTCGTTCCAGAGACTTGGTTATTCTGTGTCCTCTTCTGCACCCCCAGTTTAGTAATTCTGCACACCAAGCCATTTCCTGCCCTGTTGGAATCAGTTCTTCCCACCCCTTAGCTTTTCAAGACAGGGTTTCTCTGAGTAACTCTAGCTGTCATTTTGTAGACCAGGCTGGCCTTGAACTGCCAGACTCTCCTGCCTCTGCTGCCTCCCCAGTGCTGGGATCAAAGGCGTGTGCCACCACCACCCAGACTGGAATCAGTCTTAAAGAGGACAGCTTTGTCAGTCCCTCTCTGATCACCCACCCCACCCCTGAACACAGCATTTTTTTATTTTTTATTTTATTTGGTCACAGAACAGCTATGAGTTCAGCATTTACTTGAGTTCTTCTAGGTGAGCTTTAAGGCCAGCACCCAACACTGCATAGTGAGGCAGCGGTACTGGGAACAGGGGAGACTGTCAGCTCTGGAGGTCATCTGTCCCCATTCATGGCAGGCCTGAGGGTCTCATGCACACGGGGCACTCTGCATCCCACCGGAGCTCCTGACAAAGTGGCACCAGATAATGGGCTAAGGGACGGCAGAGAGAAGGTCCTTTCAGAGAAGGAGCCTGAAGGGCTAATCAAACCTCCTCTCTAATTGTTCAGCAAGTACCTTCTGGGTGCCTGCCATGTGCCAAGACACCACCCTAAAGAACAGCTCACCCCACAGGCATGTGTGTGTCTGTTCCTACCAGGCCCTGGGGCTACAAGGTACAGAGGCCAGCTTGAAAGGCAAGGCAGCCTGGCCAGGGACAAGCAAGCCAGTACTAGAGTGGTGAAGGCAGACACCTCCAAGCCTAGAGATGGGAAGGAGCAATGTGGAAACAGGCCCAGGCCACAAACAGGCGGGCTGTCCACGACTCACCTCTGTTCACTCAGGACTATCCCAGTCCATGTCTTAAGACCTCAAAGGGCTGCACTGAGATACATGCAGAGCAGGAGACTGGAGACAACCAGCAACGTTCATGTGCGGAGCAGGCAGCTTCAGGAAGCGGCCCGAGTATTCAAAGGCATTTGGCACCCGGTGAAATGAAGCGAGAGTGGAGGTCAGTGGGGATGGTTGGGCAGCCTGAGGCCCTGCTGCTCTGGACAGGTCCATGCACCCCGAGTAGTTAGACATGAACTTCACGTTGGTGTAATTTCTGCAGGCGTGGTTCACAGCTGGAAGACATTAGCCAGCAGGCAAGCCACAGCATTCTTGTCTCTGAAAGGGACTGGTGTTGCCAATGTAACTGGAGAGCTTGGAGCAACGTGACATCGTGGCCAAGTGTTCCATTCATGAATCACCCTGAAGTGTGACACCTACTAACCCTCCAGAAGCCCTCTGGCTTTGACAGAGGCAGAACTGTGGTGTGAACCCTGGGTTACTGGAATGTTGTCTAACCCTCAACTCTCCTGCCAGCGTTCTTGCAGTGGGAGCTTCCCAAGCCTGATGTTCATGCTGTGCCTTAAGGTGGTGGAATCATCTTTCTCGGGGGACCACAAACCAGCCATTGCTCCAACTTCCCAGAAACATTCTTTTTTTTTTTTTTTTTTTGTCTTGGGACAGGGTTTCTCTGTGTAGCCCTGGCTGTCCTGAAAAAAGCTGGCCTTGAACTCAGAAATCCACCTGCCTCTGCCTCCTGAGTGCTGTGATTAAAGGTGTGTACCACACCACCACCACCACCATCACCACCACCACCACCACCAGCACCACCACCACCCTGGCCCAGGTAAATTAACTTATGTAGACCTGCACTTCCTTGTCCTGCCTTCCCACTAGTTATGTGACTGAGGGACCATCTACGGATAGTACTAAACCTGCAGCAGGTTCTGAAAACTTGAGTGCATGGGAAACACTGCATGGCACCTGGCCCACAGGGAGGTAATGGTAGCGTACCCGGTAAAGGATCTAATTATAGCATGGGAAATAGGTGGCTTCAGACACGTCCCAACCAGGAAGGGCAGAACCCAGTGCTGCTTCCAGGACTGGACTAGGGCCATGCACAAGCTGGCTTGGGTGTCGCCTGCTACAGGGACTCATGTTCTATGCTCAACTGTCCTGTGGGGCTGCTGGGTTTCCAGATCTAGGCTTGTCAGTTCCCAGGATGGCCAATTCCATATCCTTTATCTCCTAGAGCACAGTTCTCAACCCGTGGATCTTGACCCCCTTGGGGGCTAAATGACCCTTTCACAGGGGTGACCTATCGGATGTTTACATCACGATCCATAATGGTAGCAAAACTAGTTATAAAGTCGCAACAAAAATAATTTTATGGTTGGGGTCACCACAACATGAGGAACTGTAGTAAAGGGTCATAGCATTAGGAAGGGTGAGAACCACTACTGTATAGCTGATTCTACAGAATAGCCAGCACTTGCTCGGGTGGACACCTGGGCCAAGGCCAGAGCCCACTCTCCCACTGGTGTGGGGGTGTGCGGCATGTTTTGGGGGGCACAGACAGGCTCTGTAGTAGCCTGCAGTGTAACTGAGATTTTCCTCAGGAAGATGATCTTTCTAGACCAGATCCTACAACCCCTTCTCATTTTTACAAGGTCAACTCCTATGCAACTAAGGGGCAGGGTGCCAGGCCCATCCTAAGCCGAGGTCTAGGGACCTAGCCAAGGCCATTACCTCCATACAATACTATGGTAACTCTTAAGGAGTTGCCTGGCGCACCAGGGCATAAAGGGCTCCTTCCCAAAGTCACACAAAACAAGAGGCGACAAGGTAGAAGGTAGAGGTCAACAGAGAACACAACACACACTTTGGATTCATATCCTTTTTCCACACCAAGAGTAAGAGCTTTGTTTTTATTTCAGTAATAATTAAGGGTGAACCTAAAGTGTCTATGTCAAGAGAATAGTGAATTTTTCAGACACCCTAATACAATGGTCACATGGTTAATAATGATGAGGTAGGAACTAGTGTGCTGGAGACACTTCTGGATTACAGATTACACATCAAAATCATGGGGAAATGTTTGCAATTTTGTTTTTGTTTTTTGAAGACAGGGTTTATTTGTGTAACCTTGGCTATTCTGGAACGAGCTCTGTAGACCAGGCTGGCCTTGAACTCACAGAGATCCTCCTGCCTCTGCCCGGCTTGTTTCTGCAATTCTTTATTTTTATTTTATGTGCATTGGTGTTTTGCCATGGTGTTGGGTCTCCTGGAGTTGGAGTTACAGACAGTTGTGAGCTGCCATGTGGGTGCTGGGAGTTGATCCAGTAGTTAACTACTGAGGCATCTCTCCAGTCCCCATTTCTGCAATTCTTTAGGGAAAATATCCAATCAGTTAAAAATGGCAAGGCCTTTATCAGCTCTGGTGGCATACACTGATAATCTTAGTCTTCTCAAGGCTGAGGCAGAAGGATTACAGCAAGTGTGAGCAGGCCAGGGCTACGTAGTGAAACTGCCTCAAAAACCAAAACAAAAACAATCTGCATGTATAGAATTAGCTGAGGTTCAAAAACAAAACAAAAAACAACAACAACAAAAAAACCACCACCCAGGGGACACTGCATTAAAGCTGAAAGAAGCCAAGTGTGACAGGGAACACCTGTGATCCCAGCACTTGGGTGTGGAGGCAGGAAGGTCAGGAGTTCAAAGCCAGCTACAAATTAGAAACAGGAAGAAAAAATATTAAATGAGAAAATCTGGTGGAATTACAGCTAATCTCTAGGCATCTTTAGCAAAATAAAGCATTGAACTGGACTGAGTATACACATTTGTTCCATTTATTTTAACAGTGACTTTGTCACAAGACTTTCATCTAGGTGGACAGAGAATGAACTGGAGGCAAAGCTATCCAAATTTCAGGGAAGATGGTGAATGTTCCCAGCCACTTCCTCCTTTTCAGAAACAGGGCTGGCATGGTTTAATGCCGACCAAGGCCTGGCTTCTCCAGGAAACAGGTTTCCCCGCAGCTGCTTCTTCACACATGCCCATGAAACTACTACAGTGGTGAGCCCAGGTCAAAAGTCCAGGAAGCGGCCCACAGTGACACACACGGGTCCCAAGAGGGACAGGAAATCAGTCTCAACTTTGCTACTGTTCTTTATATGAGATAACTGGGTCCAAGGAACTGTAACAGGAGATAAAGCCTCTCCCAACAGCCACACAAAGTCATGTGACCACCTCCAGGACCCAAAGAATCCACGTGGAAATCCCACTGGTGGGGCAGAGTGGGGGTGGGGTGTCTTAGCAAGAGTCAGAAAACCACTTTAAGGAGAAAATCTGCTTCAACAGGACAATGGATACTTTGAGAGGAAAGGCAAACGTGTAACTTTAAGAAACAAAGTTAAAGAATTAAGTAACCCGGGGAAAGGTGCAACTGAATGACTTTCATGAACTCCCCAGAGAGTTCAATTTAAAAACCTGCAGTCAGACTTGAAGGGCGGTCTAAAGTCACGACACAGAGGACCAGTTATCACACGGCTTAGGCCGATGGAGGATTCCAGGGACTCTAGTGGGGAGGACTCATTGCCGGAGGCCCTGGGGACCTACTGTTCTGAGATGGTGCACTTAAGCTAACTCACTCATCGGTCATACTTTTAGCTGTTTAAAGAGAATTCCCTTGCATAGTTTTCAAATTAATATTGGGGGGGGGGCACAGAGAATGACAAAAAAAAAAAAAAAAAATCAAACGAACAAACAAAGCCCAACACAGCTCACCAGAGTTGAAAAGGTTGGCTCTCACAGGATCTTGTAATGAAACGAGACATGGAATGAGGTCTATTAGTCATGATGCTGGGATACTGTCAAGACACTGCAGAATTTTGGGGAGTTCCTGTTTACATTAATAGACAACCGTAAAGTTGGCTACTTAGAAAATAGTCACAGAAACACACATGCCCTTTAACAGAAGGATAAAACAAATAATAAAACCCTTTATATACCCGATGGGCTATAATTAATTTTCAGGCAAAAGAGGGGTCCTTATGTCAATATCATTAGGTACCCCATAGCCTCACTCCAAGTAGGTACAAGCAATGTTTAGGATGCCAGCAGCAGTCACCTCTGACAGCTGCAGAGACCTGGTCCCCCTGGATGACCAACAGTCTCTGGCATCACGGTGTAAATGTCATGTTTAACAGCATGTCTGTTTCATAGCTGTGACTGTCAGAGGAATCCATCTATCTCATTTCTGCTACAGGTAGATGTTCCTCGTCAGCTTTGGTGACCTGACACTGGACATGACAGGTTTCATCCTCCGGTTACAGCTCTCTAAAGGTCACTGGCTTCATTCTTATTAACTAAGGAGAATTTTAGTTGAGACCTCACAAGCAAAAATGACTTGAAGTTATCGAATAGCTGATTTTTTTTTTCCCTTCTTCAAGCAGTCTCAAATTTTTGGTTGTTAGGTTTCATTTTTTTTTTTTTTTTTTTTTTTGGGTGCTGTATACAAGATTTCCCCCTCTAAAATGAAAAGCCTAGGAGAAGTTTTTTTTTCAAGCAAAAATGTTTATGAAAAAAACAGACCATCTGGACAAAAACCCCACCCCATAAAATAAAGGACTAATCAGCCTTGTAACTTAAAAAGGCCCAGCTTTGTCCAGTGTAACAAAACATCTCTGTTCTGTTTCTGCGCTTGGACTTTATTCCCGTTCAGCCCGAGTTTCCTCCTCCTCGTAGTTTAGCTAGAGTTAGACTCTCAAATTCTGCGTTTAATGCTTGCACAACCCATTTAAACATTAGGAATGCTGCTCTTTTCATGTTCCCATTAAAAACACAAAATCAACACAAACCACACACTGTAGGATAATGAACCAGATGGAAAAGTTAATGTGCTATAATGATATTCGTTTTGCAACATCAAAAGCAGCAGAAATACTGAATATAATTTGATTAAATCATAAATACTGAGATTGAATATGCACATAGAAATTACATTCAGGCTCCACGAGCTGAGAGCTCTCTAGAAGCAGAGAAAGTGCGAACGAGATCGGCAGCGAGATCGGCCCCTGGTCGTCAGTACTCCCACTCGTCAGACTTCATGTCAAGGTAGCTGAGGATGTTCTGGGCCAGCTTCACAGCCTGCTTCCTGGCCGCCTTACACTTCTCTTCTCCCTGGGGGTCAACGGCGTCCAGGGCCAGCAACTGTTTGGTCAGCAGCTCCTCCAGACGGATGTAGTTCTTATCAGTTCGCTTCCCACCAAACGAGAGGACTTCGCCCTGGATCTCTGACAGGTTTCCAAGGACACCCCACACAGCCTTGTGTGGGGAGGTCTCCTCGCAAGGGAACAGCTTCCTCTTCTCGAGGGCTTCCTTCAGGTCCAGGTACGTGATCAGGGTCTGCACTTCAATCACGGCTCTTCGCCTGGCTTCCCGGATGCAGGGGTTTTTCTCAAGACTCACTTCATCTAGCTGTCCGATCAGGCCCTGAAGTTCTGTCTTGGAGCTCAGACACAATTCAGGAGGGCTCTGAGGCTGGAGAAGTTCGTTTTTTATTTCTCTCATCCTCTTGAGGACCTTTTCTATTTTTAGAATGGAGTGGTTCTGTCCCAGGTCAAATGCATGGGTATTGTCAGCTTCCTCTTCTAAATCCAGATATTTCAGTAATTTGTTGATATCTTCCACCACCTCCCTCCGATAATTCCTGATCTCTGTACGCCCACACACATCCAACGCATCTAGATCAGCCATCAACCCTGACAGCACGCACGATAAGTGCCTGCAAGTCTCCGTGCTGTCCACGCCCATGAGCAGTGCGATCAGAGTACCTCTGGCCTTGTTCACTTCACACATCACAGAATTGATCTTGGCAACAGAAGGATGCACGTCCTCAGAGAGGGGCAGGGAAGGCTGCTTCCTCATGCAGTCTTCAATGATCTCTTGCACTGCACAGATCTTGGTTAGCGTGTTGTACCTTGCTTTCCGCAAGGAGATCTTCCCTCCGGTTTTAACATGTGTGAGCCTCAGAATGATGTCCTGGATGCCTTCCTCAAACTCGTCAGTCACACAGTTGCCTCCACTGTAAAAGGGCACGATCTTCTCTTTCACAAGGGCCTGTGCTTCCTTAAAGATGTTCTGGATTTCAATGCGGTGTGGGTGGTTTGCATTCTGCTCTAGCTCTTTGAGAAGGCGTTCTATCTCCTGGGCTGCCCTCTTCCTAGCTTGCTGAATGTCTCCTTTTCCTTCTGTATCTACAGAATCTATTTCAAAAAGTTGTTTCGTCAGAATCCTCTCCAGTTTCTTGTAATTCTTGTCATCCGACAGGCCACTGAAGCCCACCACTTGAGGCTCTATACTCTTTACTTCCCTTTGGATCTCCTGAAGCCTACTAATGGAAGGGTGCTGGTTTCCCATATCCATGCTTCTGTGTTCAGTTTCACAAGCACTGAAAGATGGCAAGAGTAACTTATTACAGTCTTTGCAGGATAATTAGATCAACCCATTCTACACTCGCTTTTAAAAGGCACACTTTTTTTTTTTTTGGTTTTTCAAGACAGGGTTTCTCTGTGTAGTTTTGGTGTCTATCCTATCCAGCTCTGTAGACCAGGCTGGCCTGGAACTCACAGAGATCCACCAGGCTCTGCCTCTCAAGCGCTGGGATTAAAGGTGTGTGCCACCACTGCCTGGCTAAAAGGCGCATTGTTAAAAGGACTGGTTGGGACTATGGAGATGGCTGTCAGTCAAGTGCCCAGGCTGGAGCTCCAGAACACACCTAAAAAAGCCAGGGAAGGGGCTGGAGAACGGGCTCAGTGGCTAAGAGCATTTGATGCTCTCCAGAGGACAAGGTTCAATTCCCAGCACCCACATGTCGGCTCTTGGCCACCTGTAACTCCAGTTCAGGGGATCTGATTCCCTTTTTTGGCCTTTACAGGCAACAGGCACACACGTGGTACACACACACACACACACACACACACACACACACACACACACACACGCAGGTAAAACACCAATGCACATAAAATAAAAGCCAGGCAAGATGGTGCTCCCTTATATTGCCAGTGCCTGGAAGGCAGAGGTAGAGGGATCTCTGGTTTACTGGCCAACTAGCCCAGCCTAATTGAGAAGCTTCAGGACAAGGAGAAGTCCTGCCTCAAAAAACAAAGTGGAAGGACACCACAGAAATGACGGGGGTGGGGATGGGATGAGCGGGCAGGCTGAACTCTGGCACCTGGGCACGCACCAAAACACACGGTTTTGTCATCTTATAGATTTAAAAGACATACTTGAGGAAAGAGAAGATGGGACATGTCAACTCCCTCTCCTGAAAACAGTTGAACAGGAACAAAACAATCCAAGCTGGGTGTACACTGTATGCCTACATACCCAGCCCGAGGGAGATAAGAGAATTATGAGTTCAAAGATCAGCCTGGGCTACTTGGTAAAACCATTAACCATTTAGCATTAAGCAAAAGCAAAACAAAAACGGGAACACGGCAGGGATTTTAAGAACAGACAGAAGTTACTCAAGGGTCCAGTCTGGGGTGGATGTCTGGGCCTGTGAATTCTATCTCCAACTGCATACACTTTCACACTAGCCAAACCGTCAGGTTAGCAGCAACACCATTTCCTTAGATCGCATCATCCTACACTAGTTTTGGACACCGGCAGGGTACCCTTGTGGAAGTGAACTCACAGGGGTACCATTCTGCCAGGGGGCCAACCTTTTACTTTTCAAAAAGGGGAACTAAGCAACACCCAAGTCCTCGCCCTTGACTCCAATCCCCCCACCCCACCCCCGCCCCGCAAAAACGTCATAACTGCGATTAACTCGGTCACTCGCCTCCCCGTAAACGTGCTTAGAGACATTTCCCACGCTCTCGGGTTTCGGTCCAACAGCTCACTTCCGGCGGGCGGACCACAGAACTCAGGCCCCGGGCAGGGTCCAGGCCTGGCCCTCGTAGCGCTTGGCCCCGCTTGGCCCCGGGGAGGTCTAGGTGGCGGCGGTCTTGGCTGCCGCGGAGGGCGGCGAGGTGGGAGGTCGGCCCGTCACGGGGAGCGGCACCGGAGCGGGGCCCCCAGCGGCATCCCCCTCGCCCTTCCCGGTTAGGTCTGACCCGGGCAGCCGGTGAAGGGGCCGGCGGAGGCGGCGGCA